GAGAAGAATAAACAAAAACGCCTGAAGCCTGAAGCCATGTTTTGCTTGCGGTGAACTTCACTGGTACAGATATTGCAATTTTAGGAATAAAAACTGTTTCAACTGTAAAAGAGTGGGTCATAAAAGCTCGCACTGCAGGTCAAAAAATAAAGACAATAAAATAAGAAAATTAAAGTCCGACGAGGTGAATGATGGAATAACCAGAAAATTTGTTACCGTCGAAATAAGTAATAAAAAAAAATAAAAATGCAACTTGACACTGGTTCTGACCTATCTATCATAAATTTGCATACGTGGAAGAAGTTGGGGAAACCAACTTTAATGAAAACAAATAAAATCACGAGGTCAGTGACTGGAGAAAAAATACAATTTATTGGAGAATTTGTTACAAGCATCACGTTAGATAAAAAAGTGCGAAAAGCTAAACTATTTGTCATAGAAAATACCACAAACTTACTTGGTACGAATTGGATAACAGAATTCCAATTATGGGATCTACCAATAAATTCTTTCTGTTACAAGGTAGATTTTTTAAACTGCAAAGCCCAAAAATTAGTGAGGGAACATTTCCTACTGTTTTTTTTCTCCAGTTTTGGAAATGTGTACCAAGATGGAGGCAAAATTACAGCCAAAAGAAAACACTCAGGTGGTATTCAAAAAGAAAAGGAATGTGCTGTTTGCTTCAATTGAACAGATAGATAAAGAATTAGACAGATTAGAGAAAACCGGTGTATTTAAAAAAAGTTGAATGGGTAACACCGATGATATATGTGAAAAACAAGCTCCAGAAAGTAAAGATGAAATCGACACCGAGAAAAACTGGGGAGCGAGTTACCCGCAGCCAAGGACATGCAGTATTATTTAATGATTTAAGTCAATTGAAGTCACCACAGAAAACGTTAAGAAGCACAAGATCAACAAAAGGGAAGCTAGAGGTGGAACAAATAGAACCACAAAAAGAACCTACAGAAACTGTGACTCCATCCTTAAGAAGCGCAAAGCGGAAGGTTGTTTCTGGTAACACTATGGAGGTGTAAAAAAAAAAAAAAAAAAAAAAATAGAAAAGTGGATTGGCAATATGATGTACTTGGTGAAAGGCAAAAAATTCACATGCAGTAACCAGATCAGACAATATTTTTCAGACGTGGTCGACAGCGGTCCCGTGGAAAGAAATGCCGATGGAGGTAACTTTTCAATACATTGATCTGACAACGCCTGCAACAATTTTACCTGGGGTACGCCGATCCAGAAAAAAAAGAAAGGCAACTGATCATTTATTGGTGGATCAAAAAAACGTAGGAAATACGCTACGATGTTGCAAAAAAAAAAAAAAAAAAAAATTTTTTTTTTTTTTTTTTTTTTTTTTTTCATATTTCCTGTAAAAAATGAAAAATAAATAAAGAAAACTGTTTACTCCTATGGAGAAAAGTTTTAGGGGGGATGTTATAGTGGAACACACCTATTCTTTAGTTAGACTCTCCCACCTATAATAAGTAGGAGTAGTAATAGTAACGAGGTGGAGCAGTCGCTCAGGGAGTTGGTCATTCAGTCAATGCTGGACGACTGTTAGTCGGATGTTAAAGTATCGGTGACTACGACTAGATTTCTCTGCGTCATTACCTATTATATCAAGTTCCTAACATTTTGTACGTCAAACCTATTTTAGGACAGACATAGTACAAATACAAGCCTCCACTGTGAAACTACTCTATAACAACTTATAAGGAATCACCTTAAGAAACGTAAAATTGCCTTCCAATTGTCTGGGTGATGGAGCTTCCTTCTATAAGCCCATCAAAAAGAACAAAGAATTCTTTCACCAAGAGGCAGCTGCAACTTCTGGCAACATGAAGCAGCAGGTACTCAAATATGATTACCAAGCATGAGAGTGTGACCTGCTTGAGTTTTTCCAACATGAAAACCAGTCTTTCCCTGCGGCACTGACTTATAGTGGGGAAACTCCACACTGGTCAGAATCACAACTTGCAAAAATTCTGGAAGCTACAGTTACTCCTCCCAGCACTAGACCAGGAGGTGATGCTGTTATCATTGATGGGTCCTCTCTTGTGTATTCATTGCTGCCAAAAATATCAAAGACTTTTGAGGGATATGCTATTCTCGATGTGGTTCCAAAGATTCAGATGTACTGATTGAATTTTGTGAGGACACAGTTTTTGATGTTTATTGGACTTCCAGCCTGAAGGCTGAAACAAGATCAAAGAGAGGCAAAGGGGATCAATGCCAAGTGATTGTGAAAAACCTAGCTGCCACCTAAATGGAAAAGCTTCCTGAGAGACAAGAAGACAGAGCTCTTTGGGTTCCTTGCTGATAGTGACCATGTGTCCTGACAATGTTGTTGTTGTGACCAAAGGAGATTAGGCTCTTTCCAACAGATCCCCCAGTCTTGATGCCTTGCAACCACGAGGAAGTGGACTCCAGAATCTTCACTCATGCTCTTCATGCAGCCAAGCAACAGATGACATCTGTGTTGATTAAAGCATGTGACGCACATGTTCTCTTTGTTGTAGTCAGTGTTTTTGCTACCCTCCAAGATGTAGGTATGGAAATGCTGTTGGTTGAATTTGGCTAGGGTCAGTTCATTAAGTGGTTGCTAATTCATGACATGGTGGCAAATCTTGGAACAGACAAATCCAGTGGCATGCTGTTCTTTCACACCTTCACTGGTTGTGATATTCTGTCAGCTTTTTGTGGAAAAGGCAAAAAAACTGCATGGCAGGTTTACTGTCAAGTGACTCCTGTCTTCAAGAAGTTAAGTCAGTACCCACCAGTCCTGGAAAATGCAGACTACAATGTCCGTGAGAAATTTGTCATCACCATGTATGACAAAAACAGCACTATGTACAAAACCGATGAGGCAAGACTGGGCTTGTTTGCTTGGAAGCAAAGATCTTATGATGCCATTCCACTGACAAGTGCAGCTCTCATACAGTATGTCAGACAGTCTGCCTACCAAGCAGGCTGCATATGGGGCCAGGCAACAGTGTGCAAAATGCAAACTGAAAGCCCAGTTAACTAGGGGTGGCAGAAAGATGGCAAGGTCTGTCAAGTCTTTTGGATGACCCTTCCACCCACTGCCCAAAGTTGTCAGCAGTTAACAAAATGTGGCTGCAAGACAGAATGCTGAGGGTAATGTAAATGCTATCGCTTCAGTCTCAAATGTACAGTTGAACTTGCATGCACACAATTGTGTACACTTGAGACTGTGCTAATAATAATAATAATGTAGTATATACAGCCGGAAATTATCATTTTGGGAATCAAAAGATAATTTCCTGCTGTATATGCCATATTATTCATTTTTTTTCTTTTTGCAAAATGTAGCACTGAAAGAGCCTGTTGTCATTTAATTCTGGTCATATCATCTTTGTTTTCAATAATTACAATTTTGTAAGTGCAGAAATTGATTTTTCTAACTCAAAAACATATTTGACGCATAGAATGTTAAAATAGCATTATTCCATCAAAATTTAGCTCACACATATTCAAATCACTTCAAATGGCGGCCATCTTGAAAAATGGCGGCCATTTTGTTTTTCAATGTGGGTAACATACTTTTCTGAGAGAATAGGTCCTGGAGCACATGTATACCAAACTTTGTGCTTGTACCACCAAGTGAAAGATTATTTCATTAATCTGCTGCACTATAGATGTAACTAACTGTAAGTTCTATGCTAACAGTTTTTGCTCTTGCTGTTTTTAATTGGAGAACTCTTTTTGACTTTCTTCCCTTCCAGTCAACTTTGATCTTCAAAAATTTAAATGCAATTCTCACTTAATTCTTAATTTTATTGTTATCTCTCCTTAATAATGTTTTCTTTTTCTTATAGTCTTTCGCACTCAGTAACCCACTTGTGTTTTAGTGGTTTTATTTAAAAAAAAGAAAAAAAAAGGATATTGTCCCATTGTTTTGTTTGTTTGAGGTGTGGCTTTCAAATGAATTAAATGGAAAAAAAACATGTTTCTTTACTTAAACATAATGAAAATGTTGTTTTTGAAACAAATTATGAAGACGTGGGCACTTTACAATAATGTGAAATGCCAGAGATCTTGTGGCAAGTAAAATGAGATGCCACTGACTTTACCAAAGTCTAGTCTTCTGCTAAAAAAAATGATGTGCATATGTTAAAATTCAAAGAGTCTTTTACTTTGAGCTCTTTCTGAAGAACCAAACTGTTTTGAACAAATATTGCTTTCAATTCTACAAATTTAAGGCAGAAATCTAGAAAAAGCATCTGAATTAATTAATTGAAAAGTTATACTTAATCTGGATAATGATTCTTTGGGAACCAAGTAAGAGTTGTTATGGCTTTAGATTCCCCTTTATTTCAATCCTTACAAAAGTCTCTTGATAAAAAGTTAAAGTATTCTTTGATAAGATAAAATATTCTGGGAGGATGAAGTTATGATGACATTGTCTGAAAGATAACAGAAGAAAGTGTAATGAAATGATAAAGATGTGGTTCAATAAAGTTAATGGTAAAAATTCAAAGAAAATCTCTTATAAAAATAAAACCATTTTTATTTTTGATATTAACTTAAACTGAACAAAAATTTGGCTACTGTATTGTATGCTTTTGCTGTTAAAATACTAATAGGAGTTAAATTCATCATTTAGAAGCTTAGTCTTAGGTTTAATATCTGTTTCTCCTTGAATTGTTTACTATGAGAAGTGTGATTACTACTGAAATTAGTTTCTTTCTACTTGGTGTTCTGAACGTCTTGTCACCCTATCTCTCTTCCAACTATTTTTCTAAAATAGAAAATTATATTATGCAGGAGTGACAACTTTCAGATCACCCTGTATATAAACATTCCTCTCCATTAAAAAGAAATTTCCTTAAATTTTTCTACATGAATCTACTCAGTGAAAGTCCTGCACACATACAAAAAGAAATTCTTAAACAAATTCCTGTACTTGAAAAATCTTGCTCAATATGCTGCATTTGTTCTATAATTTTTTTTAAAATTTTTATTTTCAGATTTATCTGGTGAAGAACCTTGTGTGGAAATATGTATTGGTGAGTCACTAGATTTTTTTTTTTTTTTTTTTTTTTTTTTACTGTATGTCTTTGAGAATGCCTGCTAAAATATTTCTTTCAGTGCTGTTAAGGATTTATTTTCAAATTACTTTTTATGAAATACTTTTCATTTTATTGCTCAGTAATGGATATTTGTTATATATATATTTATTTGCTTTTCTTTACAAATATGAAAAAAATGTTAAAATTTAAACAAATTCATGAGAGCATTCAGTTCAGAATATGAATTATTAGGGAATTTTACCTATTGGATTTTTTGAATGAAAGTTTGTATTAAATTTATTAGGCTTTGATATGTTTTAATGAAAAAATAAGAGATTTAAAAACATAACACATAAATTTCCAGAATAAAACCATTTCATTGGTTTTGTAAATTACATAAATAGCATTGGTGCAGTATAATAAGATAATATTTTAAAGCATTTTTATTTGATCGTGCAAACTGTCTTAATGCCATTTATATTGTAGAGAAGATATCTTGCTTAAAAAGGCATTAGTAAAATCATAAGTAAATTATGTCCAATACTGTTGAGACCAAACTTGTTTCATTGTGTATGTGTTTATTTTTTTTTTTTCTTTTCTGATATAGTTTTTTGGTTGTTACAAGTGTAGTCCAAACTAACCAACTGTTTTTTTTTTTTTTTAACTTCAGGGAAGGAAATCTTGTGAATTTATTACATTGTTGTCTTGCAGAACTAATTAAACTTTGCTTCATATGATCCTATTCTGACTAGTAGTGGTTGTTTATTTAGGGTCAAACAGGATTATACTTTTCTATATGATTGTATAATGTTTATTTCTCTAGGGGTCAGAATTCAAAGCTTTATCTCTGCTAAATATCAAGTTGGGGTAATAAAGCTATTAAATATTTGCTTAAAGAAAAATTATTCCTAATTTAAAAAAAAAATTATAATAGAATTAGTAATCTTAAGAATTTTTTAGGAATGTAGTTTTTCTTCAAGAGCCTTGATTGATATTAAGTCTCTCAAATGATACACTTGCTCTAATGAAAATAGTTTACACTCAAGGCATGAATTTGATACTCTTTTTACATCTTTAACAGAATGGTGGAACCCTGTTCTAACAGTGTAACATTTGTATAATGCTTAGATAATATGCAGATCAGTGTGTCCTAAATCAGGGGTCTCAACCTCAAGGATATAAAAAGATCATTTTCTGCTGAGGGAGGGGTGCAGTGGGCCAAAAGCATGTCTGTTGCCAGGGTATTATCAATAGGGAGGGCATCAAAATCAGTTGGGTGGGACACAAGCATGAGGTCCATGGACTCATTTAGGGATTGTTTCCAAATCCTGGATCCAGGGACCCACAAAGCTAAATTAAATCAGTTTGGTATTTTTGAGTGATAGGAATTGTGAAAGTAAATTAGAGAAAGAGGAGGGAAAGAAAGTAGGGCAGGTAGGCAAAATTTCACACATATTCTGGATGTTCATCTTTATTAAGGACATTTAAAAAAAATAAATAAATAAATAAAAAAAAAAGCAGCAAAATTTATGTGCAATTTTTAAAAAGAATCATTAATTGTCAGAAATATGAGGCAAAAAAATGCCCTACATTGATGCAGGAAACCTCCTTCAGCATCAAAATCAAGTTTTCTTCCTTTCCCTGGAGAGGAACTAGAACAGATCTCACTGGCCTTAAAATTGATTTACTGTTTGTTTGCATTTTGTGGGTAGGTCTAGTTCAATACTACTGCTGTAAAAGTATGGAACAGGATAAGGTAAAAACTTATTAAGCATTCAGTTTTGAGGAAGATATTGGTCACAAAAACAGTTCTCCATGGGCTGCATGTGGTTTGCATGCTACATGTTTGAGATTCCCTAGACAAAGCATCTGTTGTAATGTTATTCCACTCAGGGTGGTACTGTAGCAAGCAAGCTCTATATTCCATTTCTGAATATTATCATTCTTAGTTTTATTAGACTGCTTAGAATAATGCATGAAAGCCATTGATTTCTGACCAGTAAGCAAAGTGAAGTAGTGTCTGGTTAAGTAAAATTTTACAGAGACTGTGCAATTTTGATTGTTGGTCTCTCAGTTGATCCAATAAATCTGTTGAAGTCTTGTGATTTTTCCCTATTTTCTCCAGTTGTGTTATCCAGATAAACAGACATATTAGAAAGATATTGACAATGAGTTTTTCTATAATACACTGAGAGCAGGCAACTCCATTGATTACTTCAAATGAAATCTGGTAGAATTGGTATAGAAAACCTCAGCAGTGTAAAGCTTGTTTTCATGAAGAATTGGGACTTGGTACTTGGCAGATTTTAAGTCAAGTGTGCTAAGGAATTGATATTGCACCATATTGTTTTTCAGTTTTTGGTAGGGGGTAAACATCTAAATGTGAAAACAGTTCAGTTTGAGAGTAATCAACTACCATTCTTTTCTTCTGTCACTCATTAGAAGTCATTACAATCTGAGCATGCCAAGAGAAATGACTTTTCTCAATTATCCCTTCTGCAAATAGCCTCTTCACTTGCAATAAATATGTTTATCTAGAGGACTTTCTTTCCCTCATATCTACTGGTTCAAAATCAATGCAGAAAGTTGAAGAGGAAAAATAGTAAAGGTAGTCAATCCAAACATTTAATGAAGGTTTTTAAAAGGTGAAACTTTAAAAGATGTTTTGCTGTTGCTTCATGAAGTCCTGTATCAGGATGACTAATGCATAAATCAGATAACATTCTGGTAACTGTAGGTATGATTACAGATGAGTACATCAGAAAGCAAGTCTTTGGAGGATAGAGGCATGGTGGTTCAGATTGAGGAATCAGAGCCGAGTTCAATTTTCAGTCAAATCCATTACATTAACTTATGTGCTAATACCCTTGGGAAAGGTATGAATCCTCTTCTCCCCCATCTATGACTAAATAGCAGGACAGACCATGTTCTATAGCCTTGGATAGCAACTGGTCTACCACAGAAAGAAATGGCAACCTACTGTGGGCAGAAAAAAATCTGCCTTGTCGGTCATGTATTGAAAGATACATTATCACCCTAGCGTGTATCACGCATGGCACATAACTGACTGACCAACATCAGAAAGAAAATTATCACAAGAGATTTAATTTATATTTACAAATTTTTCAACATTTTAAGTAATTTGACTATGAACAAAAATTACTTGTCCTAGCACTCTCTTCTCCAAAGTAGTTCTCTTGTGAGCCAATATATCAACTCAAAAGGTAGTGGCAAAATCTGTACTACAGTCAGTTTGTATTCACTGTTTAAATTCCCTGAACTTCTGGGTAGTTTGTATTTAATTTCTGCGACTTTCAAAATGTATGAAGTTGTCTGTCTGTTCAAATAGTCATTTCTCTCTGCTGGATACTGGACGAGTGCTCTTTTACTTGAAACTACTTTTTTTTTTTTTCCCCCCCTCAGAAAGTGCATAATTAATGAGACCCAACATTTGTTTTGGGAATCTGAGGCTACTTTGAATATTTATTATATCAATGTATATTTATAGACTGCCAACATTAACACTGCCATTTTGGGTATAAGTTGTAATTTAGGAGGAATTCAGTATCATGTATATTTTGGGACACTAGGAAACGAAGACAAAAAATTATTTGGAATCTGACTTCAGAATCAACTAAGAATAACTTTATTCTTGTTCATCTATTAACTGTACAAACATCTATATGCAAAATCTTATCCGTGCAACTCATGAGGTGCCAAAGTTTTTAGTTTACCACCTAATCATGGAGATGTGGGACTTTAGTAATTGGTTGTGTCAATTTCAATCTATCTGGTGAAAAAAAAAAAAACCCCCCACTTGCGTTCATTGTAAAAACAGGTAAAATTAGGTATTTAATCACTTTGCAGACTGGTTATCATCTTGGGGGATTTTTCTCTCCCATTTTTTTTCTTTTTAATTTATTTTTTCCCCTAAATGAAATGGCTATACAAAATCATGAGAAGTGCTGAAAAGTGCTTGGCCAGACTAAGAAGCCCTTCTGAAAAAAAAATCTGATATTTGTTCACTTTCTCAAATTTTAGAATGTGATTTGTGCCAAAATCTTTTAAGTACACTCTCATATTAAGACAAACAATTAAGAGTAAAATATTTAATTGCAGTTCTAGCTTTAATTTCTCTATGAACAACTTCATTAATGTTATGCTCCCAAAATTAAAATCTGCTTAATTTTTAGATGATCTTATTTAGTACTTTATTATTTATTAAATCTATTCTGTATTATGAAAACAAATATCAATCAGTATTTGGATAATAGTTTGCATATATTAAGTTTCTCCAAACTTCTAAACAGAGAAGAAAATTTTCAATATTTCTACAAGTTGATTTTGTATATTATTAATCTTACAAATTTTGGTTATGTTTCTCTTTTGGTGAATAAGATATCTGAATTAAGATTTGGATAAATTTTGTTTAAAATTTAACAGTTGCATAAATAAGTGGGGGAAAAAAAATAGTTGAATACACCTGTTTTTAGAAGTAATTTACTTTTTACCAAATTTGTTTTTTCATGTTAATATCCACTAGAATACTCAGTTCTGTCCTTTACATAAGTAGCAGGGTTAGAATCTGTATTAGTATTGTTATTATTTTGCTTGTTTGTATGATCATGATGCTTTTTAAACTATGATCAGCGTTTAGTATCTGGCCAATATCCAATCATTTTGAGTTTGAATTGGCTATTCTTCGTGACTGAGAATTCTACTTTATAATGCAGGAAAGAATTGGAAAAAGTGAAGGAGGCAATAAAGTGAGTTGGGAAGAAAGGGGTGTTAAGGAAGGAAAGTGAAACTTAAGAGAGTTAATGAAGAATGAAATGAAAACCAAGTGAAAGAGAAAAAATATAGAATTGGCAGCAGGGTTGAAGAAAATGAAAGATGTCGAGATCCAGTCTTGCTGGCTGGGTATCAAAAGACAATGCTTGGAAAGGTGTAACAATTGTCTCTCTGGAAAGATAAAACAAAAAAAAAATATGATGCTG